CAGCAACGTTATACGACCATGGGTAATATGTCAATTGCATCAATTGATCCAAAAACAGTTCCAATTGGAAGAGAGACAGACGAGAGGGAGAGAGAGAGAGAGAGACGGGAAGAAAATGTGATTGCAAGAGAACACGTTTTTCAATTTTAGGTTTTACAAAATAATTTTTCAAAATACCAAAAATAACACATTTTCAACAATCTCAAAATGGACACCCAAAACACAAAATTCAAAATGAATTCAAAACTCAAAACACAAAACTGAAACACAAAGAGAACAACCCCTTAATTTTTCAAGATATTAAACTTTGACGCCAATGTGTATACATTAATATTTCCTTTTTAAATGTATGTATGTGAGCTTACATTAAATTTTGAATTTCACCACACTTAATTTATATATATATTTTTAAAATTTCCAACAGCGTTATGATAAAATATAATACAAGTTATATAAATATAAAATACTCTATAAATAATTATTCATTTATCAATAAATTAATAATCGCTCTGAAATAATAATTTTTTTTATTCCAACATTATTATTTTATGGGATAATTGTAGCAAAAACCTAAAGCCTTTGAAATATTAGCAGACTTTTCTCAAACTTTTAACTTGTTGTAGATGTCATCCCTAACATTTTCAAATGTTACAGGTGAAGCCATTTTGAATTGTTTCCATCCATTATTCCGTCAGTTGACCAAAAATTTGACTTTGACCACATTTTTAATCCTACTTTCTATAAAAGAGTGAATCCTACTTTCACTATTCATCTCGTGTCGTCCATTTCACACTAATCCAGATTGGAACCGGTTTTCTACTGTTCATTGTATTTAAATATTTGTTGAGCTAACTCTCCACCGACTTCATTTAATGTTATAGCAATTGGGGTGTTCATCCTATCAATTGTCATCCATTATCCATTTGGTTTACTGTTCATGATGTGATAATTTTTTCTTTGCTTTTGTTGACTTATGAGGTGATTTTTTTTAGCGGTTGTTTTTG